TTTAAAAAAGTGTATTTGCTATTTAAATATAGCTTCAAGACAAAAATATCTACCTCTGTCTAATCAAATTGTCATACCAGCCTCTCTCACAGAAACATCTAGAAAACCAGCACTGACCTCCTACAATACTAAATCAATAATCTTTGTAAAATGCAAATGAAGTCATATTATTCCCATTCATCTCTCCAAGATTTAAATTCCTTAAAATATTATATAAAGTTCTTCATGATTTGGCTACCCTTCCTTCCTTACCTCATCTATTTTCCCTTGCCCATCCAAACAAGCCATGTGAATAACTGTATTTCTCTGAACATGCCTCGCTCTTTCAGGCCTTCACATTTTCCAATGCTACTCCTTTTGTTAGAAATGGCATCCCCACCACCCTGCTTAGAAACCCAACTAACTGGTGCTCCCAGTATGAGATTCAGCTCGAGCACCATATCCTCCATAAAGCCCTCCTTAAACTTCAGAGATCTTCCCTTCCTTCCAACATTTCTTTCCCTTAAAGAAAAGATCTAGGACCAACCTCCTCTCAATTACCATAACACACCAAGTATAAATACCTCTAGTCTAGCCAGGTCAACATAATTCAATGGTCCTCTCACAGTTTCATTTCCACCTTGTACTTGTTGAAAAAACTCAGCTTTACCTTATTTATCACTGTATCCTTCCTGCTTAACACAATGCCCAGCACTCATAGTTAACATTTATTGAGTTGGAATTAAATTCTCTATACAATGTAGTAACAGATATGTACACTAATGGAAAAATGTAAACAATATTGATAATCGTCTTCACAGAAATAAAAGACTTAACCATTTTGGTTTTCATAATAAAATTAAAATATTAAGCTTATGATATAGACCTATAAAATTTGGGACTTTCATGCCTCACTTGTTTAAATTCTTAAAATCACATTTTTAAAATGTGCAGTGATTCTAATTTAAGAACCCACTGATGCATATTACTTCTGTTTATTTGGTCATTGTTAAGTAGAACTTTTTTCTTTTTAACTAAAATAAATTGGTAACTTAATTATGCTAACATTGTTCATTTTCATTTTTTCCTAAAGGAATGGCCACATGTGGAATGAAAAGCATTTTCATTATTCTTGATAAATGTCCTATTTTGTGTGATTTGGGGCAGTTTCTCACTCGGACTGCCAGCCTCTTATGAACGTTATGATTTGCAGATGTGTAGTGTGCATTAAAGAACAAGAAGATATCATGAAATATTAGTGACAATTATACACTGGGCAAGGAAACTGGACAATGTTCCAAAGGTTGTAAGGATTGTGGAAATGAATGTTACTCAAAGCAGAGTGGTGATTTATAACCAATTTCCGTCTTCAAATTAGGGCTCAAGTAAAAGAAAACGAAATTTAGCAAAGCATGATGGTGTATCATTTCCTGCAGCAGAAACACCCAGTTGGCCTGGTGCCTTCACTATGAACAGTACAACAAGCAGCAACCTGAGGGAAGCCCACAGGCTCGAAGGGCTACTGGCTGGCTCTTTGTCACCAAATGCAGCAGGTTGAATGCAGACATCACTGTGATATCTTCACCAACAAAACGAGAAGCAAAGAACAGGGGCAAGAGCTGAGTAGGAGAAAAAAACAAAAACAAGAAAAAACAAATTAAAACATCACAAATATTGAACACATTCATTGCACAACTGATGGCTACAGTTTTATCTGGAGCTGAACACATGCACATATTGCTAATAAATTTCAAATGCCTATTTTTCAGCCAGTGAGCTTACTTTCAATCTAGCTTTATTTGTATGTTAGAGATAAAATACACACTATGTAATAGCAGCGTAATCTGTGAACACAGTTTGCAAGAGGTTGAGAACAAAAGAGGAAGTTTAAAACAGTTGAAAGGAATTAGCATTTACTGAGTTTGTACCATGTGACAGGAACTGTCTGGAGCCTAATACACACATTGTATCATTTAATTCTTACAATAAACCCAGGAGGTAGGTTTTACGCCCCAATACATATGTGAGGAAACTGTGACTCAAAGGTCCAAGGGCACAAAGCAAATAACCAGTGGGAAAAGGACTAGAAAACCATAGACTGCAGAGTCATGTTCTTTCTTTACACCATGCTGCCTTCTAGCAATTATTGGCAAATCTCTCTCCCTGGAGAAGGCTATAAAATATCATAAGATTAAGAGATACATTTTGTTAGAATTTCATTTTGTAAGATAGAGAGCCAGAAATCCTAAGGACAATTAAGAGACTTCACTTTCGAAACAGCATTAAGTTTTAATAAAGCACGGCAAATATGAATTTTCATTTAATTGTATGATTTATAACTTCTAGGTCAATTCTGTGAATAATATTCATGATTTAGTAATAAAAAGTATAAAATGTTTTTTAATGTATTTGGAAATGAATTAATTTTGTATTTGGAAATGAATTATGTGGAAGAATCTAAAAACTGTAGATATTAAACTTCAGAGAAAGTTCGATTCCTAGGATTTTCTTAAAAGTTTTGTACAATTTTTCAATTGATAAAGATTAACTTTAAACAGAAATGGAAAATATTAGATTAATAAACTTCATATTTGTTATTTCAAATTATCATTTTAAGTGACTTTAACCATCAAATGTCCAAAAATTAATATAAAATTAATGTCTTATTCATTTCCTGAACACTTCCCCTGCTCCCCACCCCAAAATAAAAGTCTGTTCCGGACTCTTCCGATCTCCTTGAAGAACAAACATATAATAAACAGTAATATATTTTACTAAATCACTCTGGAGTGTATCTGACAGAAATCTGCTTGTATTAACACGCCTGAACTCTGACTTCCCCAAACTAAACTCACTACGAGACTAAAATATTTTTGTGTTACTAACTGGAGACAAAGGAGAGGAAAAAGGAAGGTAAGTATCACAATGCACAGCCTGAAAGAACCATTAAACATAAATAAACATGTCATTTTCACGAGTGACTCCAGAGCAGGGAAAAGAGAGCATTCCTTTGGAGCAGACTACCGCACCGACTAATAAAAGATCAAAGGTCTATACCTCACAACACTATAAATAAAAATGTATTTTTTCCTTGTGACCCTTCTCTGTGAGGAATAAAGTGCACATGGTAAATGTAATTACTTAGCAAAGCTGCAGCCTCACTGTGCTTCCACAGCTGACCATAAAACGTCTTCCTATTCTGTTTCATCAACTCCTGTACCAGGCAGCCTGAGCGCCTACCGACCACCATGGCCATGTGGCTTATGTCAAAGCCAGCGCACAGGAAGAGAGGCAGTGATGTCACTCTGCAGGTCAGGGAAAGAACAAAGATGCATTCTACAATTAAAAGCTGAGGGCCACAAATACAGGGAGCCCTGCAGCATGACATGTCTGTGTGATTTAATATTCTGAGTTGCCTGTATTTCTACCCAAATAGCCAGGGCTCCATCTAGTGGCAAAATAGTTTTGCCCAGTTTTTTGAAAACAGAAGACGCAAACAGTATGACATTAGCGCCAACAAAATGGGGCAATGACAATGACTGCTTTCAGAGCAGTCTAGTTTTTATACTGAAGAATGCAAAAAGCACAATTTTTCACACTGTTCTCCATTTTCTAATCCTATGAGGAATGCATTTCATAGGTTAGGATTTGATATTATCCTAATTATTTTAATGCTTGCATGGATAGTAGGAAAGGAGTGAAGTTTGCAAAATGCATGCAAAGTGGCATTACTCACAAACCACTCTGAAAATATGTAGCTGAGATGTAAAGTGAAAAACAGTTCAAAAAACAGATGTATGCATCTTGATGCCTTGGTTAAATCAAACTCATAATCTTACACTTCCACGGAACAAAAGAATCATAGTTAATATGGCTCTAACATGTGTTTTTATGCTGAAATGGTTTTAACAAAATTATTTTTAGCTCATGTTTTCCATCTCATTAATGTTTACACTTTAACAAACAGAGCTAAAATACATATGTTACCGTGAAAGATGGGATATCACAAGAGATGCGTGTGATCCATGGACACAGACTGTCTGGGTTTGAATGCTGGTCATGCCCTTAACCAATTCTTAACCTTGGACAACCTGCTTACCCTCTCCAGGCCTCAGCTTCCTCACTTATACGATAATTATTAAATAAGCTAGCTGGTAAAAAGTACTTGGTACAACTCTTGGCACATAGTATATGCTCAGGAAATGTTAGTTACTATTATTATGTAAATATGCCAAATATTTGCTGCAGTTTTAACTGTATGAATTAGAAAATTTTAACAGTCCTTTTATATCTACCCTTACTTAGAGTTAGCAAGCTATTCTCCAAAGAATCCTATTTAGGCCAGAAAACTACTACTTGGTTTTCCAAAGTAAATCATCCTAAAGAAAACAATAGAACAGAGAAATCCTAAAGATAGCAGTTGGCTGTGCACAGGGCATATGCCATGCACTACTCTAAGCACTTCACATATATTAGCCTTTTAATCCTCACAACCTCATGAGGCACATACTATCATTTTCCCATTTTTAAATATAGAGACTGAGGCATAGGGAGGTTAAGTAATTGGCCTAAAGTGTCACAGTTAGTAAGGGACAGGGACCTTAAGTAATTGGGTAATCTAATTTATACATGTAAACTCGGGCCATTTAGCTCCAATGTCAGTGCTCTTGACCACTATACAACTGACAATGAAAAGCCTCAGGATGCACTAGCCAACTCTAGATATTCTGATTCTATGTTTCCCTGCTAGGTAGTGTGATAAACATGTAATAAGGAAACTTAATTCAAGAAGATTACTTAATGGCTAGGTGAGATGGCTCACGTCTGTAATCCCAGCACTTTGGGAGGCCAAGGGGGGCAGATTACTTGAGGTCAGGAGATTCAGACCAACTGACCAACATGGAGAAACAAAAAATACAAAAATTAACTAGGCGTGGTGGCGGGCACCTGTAATCCCAGCTACTCGAGAGGCTGAGGCAGGAGAATCACTTGAGCCTGGCAGGCAGATGTTGCAGTGAGCTGAGATTGTGCCACCACACTCCACCCTGGGCAACAGAGCAAGACTCTGCCTCAAAAAAAAAAAGGTTACTTAGAGATTCTCTCCCTTGACACTGAGAGGAAAAAACAGGGAGCTAAGGAGGTGAAAAGTCTGAGACATTCTCAGATTTCTAGATTTGATCTTTCTAGTTCTATCACATGCAACTGCAACTTACAACTAACTATCCCTTATAATTAGTAAGGGACAGGGTCTTTAAATAATTGGGTAATCTAATTTATACCTGTGAACTCAGGCCATTTATCTCCAATGCCAGTGCTACTGACCACTAGACAACTGGCAATAAAAAGCCTCAGGATGCACCAACCAACTCTAGATATTCTGATTCTATCTTTCCCTACTAGGTAGTGTGATAAACAGGTAATAAGGAAACTTAATTCAAGAAGAATTCACCTTCAAATTTTTTCTCTAAATTCCTTGGATATACCTTCAGAATCTGTAAAGCTAACTCTACGTTAATCTACCAAAACTTCAGTATGTTGACAATATGGTACTTTTGAGGACCAAACAAACAGCTACTTCCACTCCCAGACACCCTAAATTCAAGTTTCAATTTGTTAGCTTTCTTCCATTTGTAATCCCTGAACTGCCTGAGTGAAGACCATTGCCAGAAAAAGTCCTAGTCCAAAAAGAGGCAAAAGCTTAGCATTAAACACCCTGTAGAAATCAGCATTGAGCAAGGATCACAGAAAATCCGTAATTCTCCAAATTTATTCTCAACTTCCTCACTTTTGCATTGCCTTTTATTCAATTAACTACATGGATGAATAACATTTATAGATAATCCACCTGCCTTGGCCTCCCAAAGTGCTGGGATTACAGGCGTAAGCCACCACACCCGGCCTAATCAACATGTTATTTTTTAAAAAGCCAGACAAGATGTCTCATGAATCTTCCTAATTTCCCAAAATATCTGGTACATAATTTTGAAAATAGTGGGTATTACTGAACCATACCTAATGAGCAGTATCACATCATGTGTTAAGAACAGAATTAGATTCCATAATTGTCCATAATTTCTTGCTTAAAACATTTTGATGATTCCCCATTGTATATCACAGGGTTCTCCAAACCATGTTCTGAGAAACACAAGATAGCCCTTCAAACAAGTTAAGTGATCAAAGTCATGGAAATTCTAACCAATATACAGAGTCTGAGAAGTCTTCAGCAAATATACCTGCTTAACTTTGTCTCAATTGGTGCCTTTGAAATGTTTTTGATCATACAAAACCCCTTTCTGTCCTATCACCCAAACCCCAGGAGAAGGAGTGGCATTCTGGTAAATTCTTCTGAGAAAGCCCAAATTCCTAAACAAATCACCTAAAGTATCTAAAGTTCTGCATTCAGCTGCTGCCAAACTCTTCAGCCTTTTCTCTTGCCACACCTCCACAACCCACCACACCCCACACTCCTGCCATACCAACATGGTGGTAATTTTCCTGATAGGTCAGCTGTTTCCTATTTCCACTTCCATGTCTTCATTCCAGATCCTTACTATCTTTGCCACCACTCCCAACCCCTACCATTCCTAATGCCTCCAATTCTAGTCCACAGTATAGCACC